TTATTAAACATCGCTCTCTTGATGTTAGATTTGTTCAGCGGCCGACTGGCAGGGATGAGCCTCTTCTGGTCTCAGCCCGGGAGAACATTGCTAATCCGAGCACTGACTGCATTCCCCAGCCCCTCTCCACCTGTGCCCCAGGGAACTCTCTCCTGACTGTCACTGGACCGAAGGCAGGGGCTGCTGGGTGAGAGGAGGGAGATTTACTTAGGGCTGTCCTTTGCTGAACAACTACTGTTTGGGACAGCAGGACACAGGTGAACCTTCAAGCCCCAGCAGTGAGTGTGAATGGAGTCTCTTGCTTGGGTCAGAGTCAGAATCACATTCTATGTGCAAATCTTTCCTATTTTAGGCATATCATTTGCACACGTGCTCATGTCCACATGCACGCATGCACAGAGAGAGAGAGAGAGAGAGAGAGAGAGAGAGAGAGAGATGTCTGGGTGCTCCTGAAAGCTAGCTCTAACTTATTCCTCTTCTACTCTGTGTTCAAGAACCCTTCCAATCAACTGCTCTTAGCTTACTCAGAAAGCTGTGCTATTTTCTCACAAATGAGCCACAGGTGTTTTAAAGGGAAAAGAGGGTATGTGGAGGGGTATTGGAGCAGACCTGGCAGTGCTCAGGGGATAGTTCTGGCTCTCTGCTCAGGAGTGACCACTGAAGGTGCCAGGGATCAAACCCAGGTCTGCTGCATCCAAGGCAAGCGCCTGCCCTGCTATCTTCTCTCTCCGGCCCCTTTACTCCAGATTTTACCATAAGGAGTTGTCAGGCAAGCCCTAGGCACCTCTCCTATTAACACTTTTACCTGGAGAATAAAGATGCAGGAGCGTTGCCCATAAGGCATCCTTGGACATCAGCAGAGAAGCGTCCAACTCTAGGTCCAGAGGTGAACTGGGTCGAGCTGGGATTTGGGGCCACCACCAAGGCTGCAAGGTTTCAGCGACATCTTAGCTATGTGACCCAAATCCTCCAGGCATAAAATTAGCTTCTTTCCATAGTTTTCAAAAGGGAAAGAACATAGTTTTCAAAGGGAAAGAACTAAATATAGCATGGGTCAGCAACCAGACCCAGAAGAAATAACTACAGCTGCATGTCAGGAGCTGGTTCTCCAGACGGCCTGTTGGACGTCCAAGCTTGGCCTGCAGAGAGGGGCATCTGAGAGCAGCTCAAAGCTGATTTGGACACCGTGACTCTGGCACTGCAATTTGTGTTAATTAAGCCATTAGTGGCACCGTCAGTGTGTTAAACTGCTGTTAGATGCATACCCCTGCTGTGGGTTTTTACCACAGTTCTTAACAAACAACCCCCCTTAATTTCCTCATTCTAAAAGTATCACAAGCACATTTCTGTTTTCCAATTATTCTCCCAGTAAGAAAAAGAAATTGCCCTAATGCCACCATTCAGAGAAAAATGCATATAACAGTATGTATAATTTAGGTGTTTTGAAATTTACTATAAACACATAAGTGTTTCTCCACCCTTTTCTCCTTACGTTCTTTTTCTAAAATTCCAGCCCTATCCTATAAAGTTTTTATACAGCAGACAAACAGTATAGTAAATTAATATTTATGCACTCTGGAAATCTTTGTAATATCTAATTTTTTTTTGCTTTTTTGGGGGGTCACACCCGGCGATGCACAGAGGTCACTCCTGGCTCTGCGCTCAGGAATTACCCCTGGCGGTGCTCAGGGGACCATATGGGATGCTGGGGATTGAACCCAGGTCGGCCTTGTGCAAGGAAAACGCCCTACCCGCTGTGCTATTGCTCCAGCCCCAGTTTTTTTTTTTTTTATATACCACACCTGGGAACCAATTTTTGCCCTGTGCGAATGAGCATGCCCCATGAGAACATAAATAATATAACATTTTAAATAATATAACAAACCTTTCTATATATCCTGCTGGCAGGATATATAGAATGCCTACTATCCTAGGGGTTCTACATAAATTTCCATTTTACTTTTCATAGCTCTTTCATGAGGTGTGTCTCTTTACTTCCCTTTGGTTGTGGTGGGAACCGAGGCACAGAGAGGTTTAATAACTGATCCAGTGTCATTCAGTAGTTAAGTAGAGGCTAAGGATCTGAGCACTGGCAGCATGGTCCAAAGTTTACACTCAACCACTGAGCCATCCATCATACATTGCAATGACATCTTTTTATTGTAAAAAAAATAGCTAAAGTAGAAATAAAGAGAGTTACACACTTCCCAAGTCCATCCTATGTCCAGTAGCAACCACTGATACAAGTTGGACTGGTCTCTCATCTGGGATTGTTACATCAATGTTGGTTGAATATATGTTGTCCCTTTTAAATTTTAACTTAAGTAATACCATCCTGTCTTTCCCTCTATATATTTGTACATACCTTATGTATGTGTAAAGTTGTATTAAAATTAGAATCACACCAAATATAATTTTAACTTGTTTGACTTTTAAGTGTACCTGTAGCTGCCGTGAATAGATATAATTTTATACTTCTGTGTGCCATGTCTTATTTTTACCAAATGTGTCTGTCTAAGTAGTTTCTAGTTCTCACTATTACAAACCTTTGATGAAAAAGCTATCTTGTATATAATTCTTAGAAGCTGGAATTTCATAGTCAAAGGGTATTATGTACATTCTTGAAGATTTCAACCTATTAATGCCGAAATGTGTCATTCAGAAAATTCCTGTGAAATTATCAACCCCATTAACCTTACCCACACAGGGGAGAGGTGGTGTGGGGGAGGGGTATTATCACTGTTTCCTACCTTTGACAATTTAACAGACTCCCAAATGGGTTCATCCTGACATTTTCCTCAGTGACTGTCATCTGTTTTACTAACGAATGTGAAAGGCGAGGCTTGCCTTGAGAATTAATAGACATGTGCAAAGGGAAAGAGCTTACATGGGTTCTGATCACTGGTTGGATAAACACATTCAGCAGCCCTGGCCCCAGACCCACCTGCCAGACCCTGTCAGGTTTTCATTGACTTTCCCTTCGTCTCCCTCTTTTCCTGTATAAACCTCAGCTGCACCGTACCACCACTAACCCCCCTCCACCTCTTGTCTTGTCTCACATCCGTTTGGCAGAACCAGTGCATTTCATGGACTGCCAAACTACCCAGCCTTCTCTTCGCTGGTCATGGTAATATTGTGAGAAACAAACACCCTTGTGGATACTGCGGATTTTCCAGCTGTCCCCACCACAGCTGCAGCTGGATCTCTGTTTAATGCCTCATGCCCTCTGTTCAATGCACGTGTATACAGGAACATACAGTCACACATTGGCATGAATACACAATGGTCTTACATGCATAGGTATCCAGTGCATGCAGGGTGCTGGTCTAGTTTCACCCTCTCACCAAGTTAGGACACCAGCTGTTTAATTCCACAATCCCTGTTCTTTCTTCTCATTTGATTACTTAGAGATTTTTCCCGCTGCCCTGAAGCCCTGCTAAGCCTTAACTTAATGACCAGTATTTCTCCAGTGCCTAACACACTGCTAAGCAGATACGCAAGAAATATTTGAGTGGAAAGGGCCTGGAGCAATAGTACAGAGGGTAGAGCATTTGCCTTGTATATGGCCAACCCAGGTTCAATCCCCAACATCCCATATGGTCCTCCTGAGCACCGCCAGGAGTAATTCCTGAGTGCAAAGCCAGAAATAACTCCTGAGCATTGCTAGATATGGCCCAAAAACAAACCAAAAGGAAATATTTGAGTGAAAAAAATTAAAAAGGGAGGAACAGAATTCAAGCCGATAAAGGATGTTATCGCAAATATGTTTTGAGTCTTTTCTACCAACTGACCAGTTTCAGATTAAACCCATTGTTTGATGAGAAAATAGTTTCACAGCATCAGATATCCAATGGCCTGGTTAGCCCTCCTTTTGGAAAGATTGAGAAGAATGCAGAATTGAAAACAGGACCTCGCCCATCTAAACATCCATGAAGTTTTGATGTCTAGCAAAGGTTGCTGTCTTGGGAAATGGGCAAGTGAAGGTGTGATGGTTTAGGAGCTTTGCTGGCTCTTCCTCCTGACCTGGATAGTGCTGTCCACTAAACCCTTCAGACAACTCATTTATCTAGCTCACTGGCCCAGCCCTCAAATTCTTATAGAAGCCCATGGCCTTTGTGCTACTGGAAAGAGGGTTTCACGAGCAGCTCTGAGAAGCAGCTAAGATGAGGAAGTAGACCAGCTTCTGCACCTTTAAGAAAAAGAAAACTTTCTCTCACTGGCTGAAGAGAAGGGGGAGCAGTTTCATTCCACTGGCCCCGTGGGCAGCTTTTGAGTCACTGCTATGTTTCAAGCTCAGAGATAAGGAAGACTTGGTCCTGGGAACAGAGAGAGAGAGAGAGAGAGAGAGAGAGAGAGAGAGAGAGAGAGAGGCTTGCCACAGGAATTTCGTGGGGAGCACATGGACGAGGTAGCTGAGCTGGGTGACAGGAGCATTGAAGAAATGTTGGCGGGGGTACCAGGAAGAGCAGAGCAGGGTGGGAGACAAAGGGAGAGGCAGGGCCAGGGCAGCAACATCCTAAGGGGCTTGAATTTTCTGCTGCAGAAAACGGGGAGCCATTGAGGGTGGTGAGCAGACGGCAGAAGGCTGCCTGGACTGGGGCCATTGTTGATGGATGCCCATCACCTGGGTGATTTGGTGACAACTGTTAATCCCTGCACATTCATGCATTGTTCGCTGCCCCTGCAGTAGTACCAGAAGAAAGCTGAGTTTTCTGCACCTCATTCAATTCCAGAATGCTTCCTCTGATCCTCCCAGCCTCCTGCAGGGGAAGGTCTGACTTTGCCTTTTTGGGTGGAGGTAAGCGGATCAGTCTGCCTTCTGCAGGCTCCCAGAAGGAGCGGCAGGACTTAGGACATCTGGAATGCATCAAAGGCAAAACTCTGCCGCTGCCGGAGCACAGCACCGCTTCTCAGCTCCTTCCAAGCTGCAGCCGCTGTGTTCACAAAAGCATCTTGGATCCAGACTGATTTTTGCTCTCTCTTCTCTGCTTCTCTTTCAGACCTGTTGGCCGCAGCCGTGCACCCAGGATGCCTTCCGTTTGCTTGAAGCCCTCCAGAGTCTGGCTGGTGGTCTGCAAGTGTGGCAATAGGGATTTTGTTCAGTACATTTAAGAATTTGTTGTTGCTGCTGCTGCTGCTTTAATTTATTTTCCTTCGTTGAATCGGACTGTGCCCTCTCCCCACCTGCAAGATGGCCCAGTCCAAGGCCAACGGCTCACACTATGCACTGACCGCCATCGGCCTGGGGATGCTGGTCCTCGGGGTCATCATGGCTATGTGGAACCTGGTACCCGGTTTCGGCTCTGCCGAGAAGCCGACAGCGCATGGAAGCAACAAGACCGAGATTGGCAGTGGCATTCTCAAGAGCAAGACCTTCTCCGTGGCCTACGTGCTGGTCGGGGCAGGGGTGATGCTGCTGCTGCTGTCCATCTGCCTCAGCATCCGGGACAAGAGGAAACAGCGGCAAGGAGAGGAGATGGCACATATCCAGCGTCAGCAGGGGGCCGAGCCCCGGGCCCAGGAGGAAGACAGGTGAGGAACAGCTGGCCCGCCCCGGACATGCATGCACACTCAGGGGTTCCAGGAAAAAAAAATTATTCTAGGGTGGGAGAGATAGTTCAGTGTGTGGGAATCTTGCCTTGTACACCGGCAGCTGGTTTGGTCCTCGGCACCCTACATGGCGCCCAAAGCACTGCCAGGAATGATCCCTGAGCACAGACAAGAGTCAGACCTGATCACCACCAGCTGTGGCCCCAACAACATCCTTCCATCCTACCAAAAAGAAAAAAATTCTAAAAGGTTTGCTTGTCCCTCTATCTGTTGTCGGGCTTTGTTAAAAGAGGTTGTGGGGGCTGGAGCAATAGCACAGCGGGTAGGGCGTTTGCCTTGCACGCGGCTGACCTGAGTTCGATTCCCAGCATCCCGTATGGTCCCCTGAGCGCCACCAGGAGTAATTCCTGAGTGCAGAGCCAGGAATAACCCCTGTGCATTGCCGGGTGTGACCCAAAAAGCAAAAAAAAAAAAAAAAAAAAAGAGGTTGTGGTCACACATAGCTGTGTACTATTTTTTTTTTTAATTGAATCACCATGAGATACTGTTACAAAGCTTTCATGATTGGGTTTCAGTCACACAATGTTCCAACATCCATCCCTCTGCCAGTGTCCATTTCCCACCACCAATATTCTTCATATCCTTCCTGCAATGCCTACTCCCCAACCCCAGTCTACCTCTGCGGCCAATGCCTACTCCCCAACCCCAGTCTACCTCTGCGGCAGGCACTTTTCTTCTCTCTCTCCCTCTCTGTCTTTCTGTCTCTGTCTCCCTCTCTTTTTTTCTCCCTCTGTCTCTCTCTGTCTCTCTCTCTCTCTCTGTCTCTCTCTTTCACTGTCTCTCTTTCTCTCCTTCTCTCTCTCCTTTTTGGACATTATGGATCTCAGTACAGATACTGAGAGGCCATCATGTTTGTTCCTTTACCAACTTTCAGTACACAGAGCGATCCCTTCCAACCATCATTATCAAAATGGATTGTCATAGTGGTCCCTTCTCATCCCAACTGCCCTCTCCCCCGTAGCTTGAGGCAGGCTTCCAACCATGGACCATTTCCCCTGACCCTTGTTTCTACTGCCTGGGGCATTAGTCTTATACTATGTTATATATATATATATATATGTATATATATATATATATATATGTTCCACAAATGAGTGCAGCCATTCTATGTCTGTTCTATGTCTGTCCCTCTCCTTCTGACTTATTTCACTCATAGCTGTGTACTATTGGTGACCACATTATGCCGTAACTAGAGCACAGAGTTTCCCAGTGACTGTGGTAGGACTGAATTATGGGTGTTCCATGATTTTGATGCCCCCTAGAAAAGCTGCATGTGGCCTGTAGTACCCAAAGCCTGCACATTGGCTGCTGGCCCCACCCCACCTCACGGTGCTGTATGATATTTGTCAAGCTGTATCGCTTGGGAAGCTGTGCTCTATTAAACCAAAGAGCCTTCAACAAGTTTAAACGAGAAGTGCTAAGCATACAATAAAGGTGGACATCCCTATTATAAAGGAACCCTTAGACATGAAGATGAAGGATAAACATCCCAGAAGGGAAATAGGTAATGGGCATGAATAGACATCTCTCAGACTTGAAGGCCATCGGGATTCAGCCTCAGGAGTCACAAAGGGCACACAGAAAAGAGACGGCACTACTTGTTGCCTAGCAGATTAGCCAGGCTAGAAAGCTGCCACCCCATTGGGGAGAGCTGGAGGGAAGTGGGTGCAGATGGCAGTTGGCTGGCAGAACCTTCAGAAGGGGAGTTTCCAAAAAGGAAAGTACTGGAGGTGTGTGTGCTGATCAGTTCAATTGGTATAAGAGTTTGTCCTGGGAAAACTAGCACATGGGGACAACAGGAGCCCTGCTGTATATGACGAGTACATTGCTTGGGATGACAAAACCTGAGAAGCGCCCTGTATATCTGTGCTGCTAGGTTAGGACATAGCTTTTCTGTGGTACTCTGTACAGCCTCTGTTGACCTGTATTTGCCAAAGGGAGAACCTAGCCACCACACGAAGCAAGGAACTCTCGACTTTGATAAAGTCTTTTTTTGGGGGGGGCATACCCAGTGATGCTCAGAGATTACTCCTGGTTCTGCACTCAGGAATTAACCCTGGCGGTGCTCAGGGGACCATATGGGATGCTGGGAATCGAACCCAGGTCGGCCGTGTGCAAGGCAAGAGCCCTACCCACTGTGCTATTGCTCCAGCCCCTAATAAGATCTTAATCACATCCATGCAGCGGCTGTGAGGTTGGGGTTCCTAAAGCTCTGGAAACATGCACAGTGTACTGTGAAGGGGCGTTTTCTCCCGGTGGAAGGATGTAGGCTGTTTTTCTCTGTCTTTTTTTTTTTTTTTCCACATGACAGCCTTGTATCATTTGAATTTTCCACAAGTATGTTTGATCTTTCCAGCAGGGAGGGGAATTGTTTTTATTTTGGAAAAGCTGAATCTATTTTCTCGTCATGGAAGATGATCTGTGTTTATCCATAGGCTAGGAAATGTGGGAAATGGAGAAGAGAACAAAGCAGAAGAATCAGCCCTTGGGATTACCCACCCAGGAGTGAGCACAGAGCTTAGAGCTTATTTCTGAAGGGGGAGGGGAGGAGGGGGAGGAGAGGAAGGAGAGGAGAGCCAAGCAAAGCCCCGACAATGCTAAGTTACTGATTTTGGCCATCTTCACCCTCCAGGACTACGTGTAGCTAGGAAACGACTCGGGTCGTCACTCCCTGTAAATGTGTCGTTCCCCTTTTCCACTTGCACCAACCAAGTGAGCATAAAGCTGAGGACCTGTCCTGCACTGAGAGCCTGGTGATGGATATAGAAGATAAAAACAACAGAATTAGTAGCGGTGCACATGTATTATATATCTCAGATTTCTTTTTAGCTGAAGGAAACCCATTTTGCTTCACTTTTGCAGGCAGTTTGTGTTTTTTTCACTTGTCTTTAGCCCAGCTCTGCCAGGGAATAACCCACCCACATTTCTAGGTATGCGGCTGAAATGCCAGCGGGGTTAGTACCCTGATAATCCACCCCCAGAGATGGTACTGTTCCTGCCCTCCCGCTTTTTTTTTTTCTTTTTGGGTCACACCTGGCCATGCACAAGGATTACTCCTGGCTCTGCACTCAGGAATTACTCCTGGTGGTGCTCGGGGGACCATATGGGATGCTGGGAATTGAATTCGGGTTGCCCTCATGCAAGGCACACAACCCTACCTGCTGTGCTATCACTCCAACCCCACCCTTCCACTTTCTAACATCACTTAACCTCGTGCCTCTGTTCCCCATAAGAGCGAGATCATAATAGCACCCAACTCAGTACATGGATGGAAGGTAAAGTTGGTTCATCGAGTTAAAGTCCTTAGAACAGTGCCCAGCTCAGAACAGTTAAACGTTAGCTTTTATTACTTGTGGAGTCATTTGTTGCCTGGGACATGTGGCGCCCAGTGCTAGTGTGGGATTTGGAATCCAGCTGTTTGTGATTTTTCTTCATTTTATTTTAACGAGAAAGTAGCAGAGGAACTATGGTACTTGCCTTCCGTGTGGTGGCCCTGGTTCAATCCCTCCCTCAACTGAGCACTGCCTGGTGTGTGTTCCAAAATCAAAAGGAAAGACAAACCATTTTTTTTCTTTTTTTTACTTTCGGTTTCAGGGACACACTTGACCATGCTGAAGAGTTTCCCCACTCTGTGCTTGAGGGTCCTGTGGGGAACTGGGGACTGAACCTGGGCTTTTCACAAAGCTTTGATTGGGCTCCCTTTCTCTCTCCCATCCCCTTTGTGACTATACGGGCCTCACAGTCACTCACTCACCCCATGTCTGTGCTTGTCCTGCAGCCAGGAAGAGGAAGAGGAAGAGGATGTCTCCTCTAGGTACTACGTCCCCAGCTACGAGGAAGTGATGAACACAAACTACTCAGAGGCCAGGGCCGTGGACCAGAACCCCAGGATGAGCATCTCTCTCCCCTCCTATGAGTCCTTGACGGGGCTAGACGAGACGAGCCCCACCGCCACCACCACTACCACCACCAGAACCGAGGGGGAGACCAGCCGGGGGAACCCGCCCGACAGGCAGAACTCCAAGCTGGGCAAACGCCTGAAGCCGCTGAAAGTGCGAAGGATTAAATCTGAGAAGCTTCACCTCAAAGACTTTCGGATCAACCTCCCAGATAAAAATGTCCCTCCCCCCTCCATCGAGCCCCTGACTCCCCCGCCACAGTACGACGAAGTCCAGGACAAGGCCCCCGACATACGGCCACCTGACTGACACCCCGTCCCCTCTCTGGCGTGTCCCCTCCTGTCATTCTCCCTCCACACCACAGACCCCCAAGGAAGCCACTGCAGGCACGGCTGAGAAGCAGAGGGGCCCCGAGCGTAGTTAGCAGTTTGGAGGGGGTTTCCCACGGGGGCGGGGAGGAGGGTCTGTGATACAAGAGTGACTCTGGTGCCCCTAGAATGGCATGGAGCAGGTGCAAGAGGGATAAAGAGCAGCTGGGGACCCCAGATGGGAACCCTGGGGGGTACGGTATGACCATCGTCTCTCCCCATCTCTGAATAATCGGTGACGACACCCCTCTTTCCAAGCGGGAGAGGCTACCTAGCAACTGGTTTAGACTGTGATTTTGTTTTTACTTCCACTGGGACTGTTCTGTTTCCAAAAGGAAGCAAGGCATGCCTCTGCTTTCTTCTGGAACCGTGGGTTCTCACACGGCTTTGTGAGGACATGGAGCCATTGGTGAGTTCAGAGCAACGAGAGACTGGATGACGCCATGGGGGAAGATCCACTCGGGGGTCTATCAGTGCCCTGGGTGCAGCTGGTTCTTTGAGGGCCCAGCGCCAAGGTCATGCCTGCGTAGGCTTACTACACTCTCCTCTCATGTGTGATGGCAGGAAACGGAAAGCTGTAGGCGACCTTTCATTCCTTGAAAAATGCCGTGCAACTGAGCTTTTGATAATAAAATCTTTTATATGGAGTATCTTCTGAGTCCTGAATTGCTTTTGTAGCTCTTCCGCTATGTCTTGCTCGGGGAGAAATCAACAACAACAAACAATAATAATATCAGTAGCTACTGGGTATCAAACACTTATGTCTAACCACTTGATATATGTTATATCCCTTCCTCTGACGTCAAGCCTGTCATCGCTGACATTCCACTGGTTAAAATCGCACAGGTCACATCGTAAGAGACAAAGGTGGGATGTGAAGCCAGCCTTCTGGCCCCAAGGTCTGAGTTCTTAAATACTCTGCAGGATAACTTAGCAGAAAGAGCTTTTCCGTGGGACCAGTGAGATAGTACAGTGGATAAGGTGCTTGCTTTGCATGCAGCTGACCTGGGTTTGATCCCCAGCCCCCATATTTACCCCCAAGCACCGCCAGGAGTGATCACTGAATTTAGAGCCAGGAGTAAGTCCTGAGCACTGATGAGCATGCAAACTCAAATGCACCACCTCTTAAAAAAAAAAAAAAGAAACGATTTTTTTTCAGACTCTGAGAACTGCTTCCCAGACACTTGAGGTTATACCTAAATGCACCCCCTCCAAAAAAAGAAAGAAAGAAAAGAGGATTTCAGTCTTTGAGGACTGTTTCCCAAACACTTGAGGCTGTCCTCATCAACTCACATTCTCAAAAATCCTACCAGGCTAGAAAACAATTCTCTATCTGTTGGAGCATCTTCCACTATCCCTCTCCAAAGCACTGTCAGAGAAAGAAGCCCCAAATTGCCTGTGACCCACTCCCCACCCCGCCACCACAGGGCTGATGGGCTGTGTGATCATGGAGGGTACAGAAGCCTCATAAATACCCAGGGACCACAGGTTGCTGAGTTGACCTGAATGAGACCAATGGAGATAGCTGGACGCCGAGAGTGGAGAGGATTCTGGGAAGTCATGTCTGAGGTCAAAGCCACCTTCCTATCTGGGCAAGCAGGGCACAGGCCTATTTAGAGTCTGTTTAAAGGATAAATTCTCAGGCCTCGGGTGATTTCTTAGAAGTTCCCCTGGAAGGTCAAGGGAAGAAGCAGATAGGAAGTGAATCACCATCTTCTCTCAGGATTGGTGGCAATGCCTCAAGTCCAACCTGCCACTTTCTTCGTGCAAATCCATCTATTGAAATGGGGTGATGAGCAAGATTGAGTTGGCTGCAGTGGACATCAGAGCCTGCTCTTGTCCTGGCCTACTCCAGGACCCCTGCGGTGGTTTACTTTGGCTCTTCTCTCTGGGCTGGACTCCATAATTCTTTAACTTTCTTCTGATGGGAGGAAAGGGAAGGAGGGAAGTAGCAAGATTCCCAACACTGCCCTGGTTTCATCTCGTGGCTGAGCCTGGCTGCCTAAGGGTGCTCTCAGTCCAGCCTCAAGGACATCTTTCAGGATGTCTGCTTCGGTCAGACCTTCCTTGGAAGAGAAAAGGGTTTGAGGCTTATAATAACTAAGATGTTGAAACCTAAACCCTGGAAGATAGCCTTATATAGTAAATTTTTTTGAAGATCACATTCCATGAAGGGTTTTGAGATTATGTTGGATTATTCAGTGGACCCCCTAGAGCTAGGGAGATGGCATCAGTAGCAGGGGGAGAAGGATATGACCAAAGAGGCAGGAGTGAGATATCGTCCAGCCAAAGAAAGCCAGCAGCAGGGAGCTGGGAAAGCCCAGAAAGGCAACTTCCCTTGAGCATGCCAGCGAGGTCGGCCCTTCTCAGAAGCTTCGTTTCAGTCCAGTTCATACTGATTTGGTTCTTCTCTCCTCCATAACTATGTGAGAATAAATCTGTAGTTTTCGGGCCACCGACTGTGGAGGAATTTGTGACAGTGGCCACAGGAAACCAACACAGAGTTCAGTCTTTAACTTGTTAGAGAGCAGTGGTGCTTCCACGGACACATTCCTCCAGGCTTCCTAGTGGAGGCCTCAAGGGCTATAGACATCACAGAGCGGGCCCTATCTGCACAGTGAGATGATCACATAGTAAATTGTCCATATTCTCAAAGAACGTATCATGAATCTTTAAAAGATGTGAAAAAATGGAGTCTGAGGGTCACAGATGTAACTCAACAATAAAGCACTTATATTGCATGGGTGTGGCTCAAAAAAGGGAAACAAATTTAATTAGAAAAATTAATGAGTGAGTCAATGATGCCATCAATTAGTTTAGACTTTTTAAACAAAAGGAAGGCAAAGAGAATGTTAGCTGGGAATCTAGCCAAAGAGCAATACCAGAGAAGCAGGGATGTTATTGACAAGACTGAAACCACCTGTCCAAACAGGGGGCCATATTCACCTCAAAATTCCCCAAGGCAAGCACACAGACACACTCATCCTGTGTGCTCATTGGTTCAGGTTTGTTAGAAATCTGTCTTTTAACAATAATAAAATAAAAGGTAAATCAAGAGAAAAAATCCTACCATTATCCTTTTCCCTCCATCATGCTTCTGTTTTGAAGGATAATATGAAAACAGAAATTTGGGAGAGAGGAAGATTCAAGAAGCATCCCCCTCCCCATCACTACCACCACCACCACCACCACCACCTTTTTCTTGGGCCCTAGATAGTCCCAAAACTATGAGGAAAAAAAAACCTAGAAAATTCCCACCAGGCATTTCCCACAACACCCCAAAGGACAAAGGTCAGCATCCGCGTTAGTGTCATGTGGGTTCCACACTGTAAGGTCACAGCTGATTGGACCTGAGGTATGTGGACACCTGACTAAGGATGCCCAATCAGAAACTGAGATCATTTGGACATTTCTTTCCCAGGAATTGTCCTGAATTAGTTGGAGAGACTGGTTGGGTGATGTGATCTCAGGGATTAGGGGTCCATTTGGGGACCACTGTAATGAGCCACAGGGAAGAACACTGGGGAACTTGGTGTGTGGAAAGAGAACTGAGGATTACTGAAAGAAGCTGGCCCAAACAGCCCAGCCCCAGAAATGGCGTCTTCTGAGGACTTTCTAGTCATGAGTTCTTTTCCCTAGGGAAACCCAGCTGTATTTCTGTACTCTTGATTCCATAAGAAAAAAAAAAGTGACGCATTCTCTGAACAAGCTTCCTTTTTTAGCTCTGATACTAAATTAAGCTGTAGCCCTTGAAGGGCAGGTGCTGCCTTTGCCCCCACCTCGGGCACTGCTGGACCCCACCTAGTCTTCGTGGGATATACACTTGACTTTCCCTTTTCTAGGGGAACCAATCAGTTCCAACTGGGGAAGCTGTGAACAGAAGATTGAGACAAAAGATTGTGTTAGAGTCCAATCCTAACTACACTGTAGGAAGTTCCCTGCTGGGGATCTAAGCAGAAATAGTCAGGAATTCCTGTGAACTAGCAGGTGCTGTTCTAGACTCGAGAGATACACCAGTGGAGATAAAGCCCTGTGTCCCAAGGGAAAGGTCCTGCTTGGGCAGTGCTTCCCAAAATGGGTCCTGCGGCCTTGGGCCACAGCGAGCAGGGTCATTTTAGACTACTTGAATTGGGTGCAAGACATTGGAAAGGCACAGGGGAGCCTTATGTGTGTGTGGAGAAGAGTGGTCTGTGTGCAAGGAGGCACCAATGAAGCTGAAGGTTGGAAGAAAACAGCCTGCACAGAGAGACGGGGTGTCCCACTCTCCCCATCTAGGCTCTTTTTAGCCAGGTTTCAGACATACTCGCTGGGTCTGAGGAAGTCACCCCTGCTGTCGCTAGTCCCATCTTTGCTTGTAATGAGTCCCATCTTTGCTTGTGATGAAGGAGGGCTCCTCAATGCAAGATGAAGCCTTTATCAGAGAGAGAGAGAGAGAGAGAGAGAGACAGACAGACAGACAGACAGAGGGTGAGAGTAGACAAATCCATGTTTGTTTGATTTTTAGCCAAAGGTGAATGCAGTGTGCTCAGCCTCTTGCAGGATGGTGCTGTCAGCAATGAGCTGTTTGAGTTAAGAACGTTAATCTCAGGGACCACAACGCTCAGGCTTTGAGAGCCCCATTCCCCTCATACCAGTCACTAAATCATAATAGATGGATGAGCTCCCTGATTTTATCCAGTTGGTGACCTCCAAGCTTAAAAGATCTATTTGTTCAGCACACTTGGTATTGATCATGTACCAGTTAGGTGCCATGTTCCAGGAATAAACTACAAGCAATAGGACCATGTTCCTGCTGTCTCAGAGGCTAGATTCTGGGAGGAGGAGGAAGCAGTTAATGAACCAATAAATAAATGCATGGCGTAATATCAGAACACAAAAGGTGCTGTGAAGGAAACCGAAGGAGGGAAAGGCTTGACATGAGCCTGTGAGTGGAGATAGTAAGACAGAGCATTGCCCAAATAGACTGGCCCCAGAATCTGTTCCCTCTGTTCTCTGCATCTTCCAGGGCAAACTTTCCTGGGTCACTCTGTGGCAGAGACAGTAGAGCCCAATCTGACGCTTTTATGGAGAAACCAACATAGATGCTTGTCCAAACTCTACAACTCCAGACCTGTCTATTGGATTCCTGGT